GTAACTAACAGTTTTTTCGAAAATCGTGACTTTACCAAACTTCATTCTATATTAGGCATAGCAATATGCTTATATTGTATCGGGATGCATCTGATACTACAAACGTTGTTTAACATTAAATATAGATGCCCCCTTACAATAGTATTAAAATAGCAATATAGGTAATAATTACCTGTAGTATAAATTAACAATTTTTATTTTTAAATTTATTATAAATATAGATATTATTACTTGTAATAGATAGTAATTAGTTTTTTTAATTCAATAATTTAAAAATATGTTTAAAAATATATTTAAAATAAGAGTATTGCTAATTTTAATAGGCTGTAAAATTTATAGCCTTGCATTTGACCAATCAAAATTGCTGAATTAGCACAATCTGCAAATTTTTTGTATAACAAAAACAACGTTTTTTTATGAAAAAAAACAAAAATTACTTATAATTCAAAATCTAGCTTAAGAAACTGCTTTTGTTGTTATAAATAAAAATTTTTTGCTAAATTTTACTATAAAGTTTATTATTTATAATAACTTTAACATAATTTTAACTTAAATAAAAACCTTTTTAAAAGTAAACTATAAGTATTTTTATCTAAAAACCTTAAACTTGATTGGCTAATGCAGACCTGTAAATTTTATAGGCTGTAAATTGTAGTAATTGTTTTGAAATAATATATTCTATAAAAAAAATATATCTCATATATTTTATATAATATATTATTTATTTAAAAAATTTCAAAATTTTAAACAAATTTACCTGAAAAACAGTTTAAGAAATACTATTCTTGAGTTACTAATTCTTTAAATTTTATACTACAATGTTCAAAAGCTGTAAATCCATCCTCATCTTTAAGTATAATATTAGCACCATTTTTATACAAATATCTTGCACAATCTAGATGCTCAGCAATACATGCTATATATAAAGAATTGTAAATAATTATATAACAATAAAGAATTTAAAATTATATTAGATATAAATTACCATAATGCAAAGGTGTTTCATTTCCATTTGTCTAAATATATATATATTATAAAAATAAAAATTTTAAATTAAATAACTAATAAATAAATTAATACACAAATAATAATTTAATAAATTATTACCAAAATGTTTATATTAGCACCTTTTTCAAACAATAATTTAACAACATCCAAATGTCCTCGATCACAAGCCCAATGCAAAAGTGACAATCCCTTTATAAATTTTAAATCATTTAATTTTGCATTGAAATAAAATAAAATAAAATAAATAAAAATAAAAATAAAAAAATTATTAAATGTTACCTGATCATCTTTAGCATTTATATTAACTTCTCCTGATTCTAATATTCCACTTATCTCAGATGACTTACCTTGCTTGGTGTAAAAAAAAATATCATCACTATTATCACTATTTAGAAAAAAAAATATATTGATCAATTTGAATATAAAAATAAATTTTTTATGATCTAAATGTCACAATTTGCCAACTTACTAAGTAAATCAATGTCGCAGCTGATGCTGAAAACGGCTGAAGCTGAAATTTGGGATCTCGATTTAAAAATATAAGCCCTGCTAAAATCCACATATACTTGTTAATTATCAAGTCTAACCCTAAACACTAACTCAACTATAAAAAAAAAGCGGGAAAAAACACCCCAAAAAATTTTAAAAAATTCATATCAAAATAGATCCGAATTTCAGCATCAGCCGTTTTCAGCATCAGCTGCGACAATCAATATTTCCTGTATTTTTGCTAAAGACATGCCTTTTTTTTTTGTACCAAACCCAAATTTAGCAAGAATTTCAGAATATATAAGGCAACAAAACAACTTCAATAGTCATAAGGTTGATTTACTTAGTAAGAAATAAGAGCTTTACTGATCATAATGTTTGATATGTGGTGAAAAAAGATTGCTCAAACAAATTCAATTGCAGTATATAATACTAACTTTGCCACTGCCTCTTCTTCATATGACAAAGTGGAAACATATGTCCATCTATCTTGTGGAATAGTCTTTGCTTCCTACTTGCCACATCCTAGTAAGAACAATGATGATTCCAAAATCTAACAATTAATAAACCATTTGAAAACAGAAAAATACTACATTGTTTATTTTATCATTTCCATCATCATCATCATCATCATCATCATCATAATCATCATCATCATCATCCGATGAACTTTCTTCATTGTCCATACGATCTTTACTCCATCCAACATTTGCTTGTTCCAAAATATCGATATAACGTTGCTTTGCCTCCTCTTTTGACATTTCACCTAAATCATTCCAAGAATCCCACTTGGCTCTACCTCTAAAATCTAGTAAAGAAGGTTTTGGAGTATTACAAGTGCCAATCGTTGCAGCTTTATAAGTACCGTAAAGCTTTTAAGAATAACAAAAGTTGAACGTTTAATTAAATTTACATACAAAAGAGAAAATAGCGACAATACTGTATTACCTTTAATTTGATTTCATCAGATAGCTTAATATTCGAATGTTTGTTAAGATACGTATATGCAGAGGTAAACTGCGCTGATAACATGTCTGTTTCACTCATTTTACAATCTTGGTAAACTATGAACTCGACCTAATTTTATAGATAATTTTCGTGTAACAATTGCAATGATCGATATCAGATATCTAATATACACGTACGTACGTACGTACGTATACGTATGTGATTTTGATTGGACATTAGGGTTTACTAGCGTTGCCAACAAAATGACGTAATCTTAATCGTCACAAGGAAATAACTACCGGTACATAGTAATTCACATACAATAAATATAAGATAGGGTATGTGATGATTAATCATACATAATTTTGTTGGCAACGCTATTAAAAACCATGATACAGCTACACACTCTAATTTTGATGTTCTAGCGAAACGTTTTAAACTTAAAAAAAAAACACAACTATATATAGTATTATTATAACATGAGGAGGTAAAACGAAGCAGGATTTACATTTATCGCCATTAACCGAATCTTATGCATGGTGCAGAACTGCATGAAGACAATGGCTTTTTACGTAGTTAAAAGCGTCAAATTTTAAATATATTGTATAATCATTAAATAAGAAAAATAAAATTTGTTATGTAGACTCCAAGGCGTTACTTTGCATATAAAGTAAAATTAATATATATAAAATCAGAAAATTACTACGTATCGGTATATAGAATTCATCTATTTTAAAATTTTATAGTAATTCCAAAGTTTATTGTTGTGAAAGAGTATATTCAATACAACTTTAGATTACCGAGTACATTGAATCAGTTAAAAGGTATCGTGAAACAGTTATTCAATACGGTGCATAATAGACGAAGTAACAATTGCGGTCTCTAACAACTCCAAGAAGAAAAAAAATTTTTTTGTATATTTACATGAATTAAAAATTCATATATTTTAGGAAAATAAATTAAAAAGTCATACTTATATTAACGTTAATATGTAATAAAAATTCATATACGTAATTACAGATATACGTAATTGGATATGAAGAAAATCTTTATTGTACTCTTCTGAGACATGGATGATCATTTGTAGAAAAAGTATTTCTAAAAGTTTCGAAATTTAAAACGAGAAACGGGATTTCTATTTCCGTACAATTCTTTTATTATTAAAATGTATCTAGTTCATAAATTAGTCTTTATAGATAATTTAAATTAATTAATTTATTCATGTAATATCGACATTGTTTCCCCGGAAGATATTACCCATTTGATCTTATTTATCTTCAAAAATAATATTTTCATAAATCTAGGTAAAACTCGATCTACTACCCCCCTGAATCCTTGAATCGTTATTTTTTGAAACTGAATCTCTAACGCTAAATATCCAGTATGGAGATTTGTTTTAATTTTAATACACTACATGTAAACTCAATTTGTTACAAAGCAATACCTCCGCTTTGGTTTCCCCACTTTAGTTCTTCCATGTTTTTAGTATAGTTTTTCGCTTATTAATCATTTGTTAGTATTTAATGAATTAATATAACGCACAACTGATACACCTGTAAACACTGACAAAAACAAGAAACAATCATTGTTTTTTTTATCATATAAAGAAATCGAAACAAATCGAGAACATTCTATTTGTATTACGTTAAGTCACACACGATTAAGAACGTGAGCAAACTAAAAAATTTTTGATCTAACCTTTATTTTTTTTTATTACGTCACGAACAAGAAAGCATGTAAATGATTCTTAAGTCTTAATATATATATTTTTTTTTAAAAGAAAAATGTGTCTTACAAAAAAATAAATGAAACTAAAGAAAAAAAAAAATAATAAATGAAATGCTGTATATTTTACATACTAATATGTCTGAAAACGAAAAAAAGGAAACTACATATTGCAAGACCTAATGGGAAATAATAATGATAATTTGAATTTGAATATTGAATTTGAATTTGAATATTGAATTTGAATTTGAATATTGAATTTGAATTTGAATTTGAATTTGAATTTGAATTTGAATATTGAGTTTGAATATTGAGTTTGAATATTGAGTTTGAATATTGAAGGTTGAATATTTCTTTATATTTATACAATTACCAGTATTGTAATATATCATAAACTTCCGCCGCGACTTCTGAATTATCTGCTTGAATAGCCGCGAATTTCAAGCTATATAAAGCAGTTTCCGCGGCCATATATTCGCAGACGGAAAAATGTTCTTTCAAATTATGAGTTCTAGTTAAAGACATTGTTCGATTTGGTAAAAGTAAACCATCAGATGATTTAATATATTGATTAATAATTATTTTTTCATTTTGAATCTTTTCTTTCTTTTCTTTTTGATTATATTGTTTACGATTTGAATTTGAAATTTCTATACGTTTTTTTTCAGCAATTTGAAATTCTTTTGTTATTTCTGTTGAGAGTCCATCAGAAATTTCTACTAGCCATTCTCCTATGATTTCACATAATTCATTGGTGGTTGGTCGGTTTAATGGATCATGATTCCAACATCTTTGCATTAACCTACTATAACATTCTGGTATATTATCATCAATTTTTGGTCGAAGTCCATGACAAATATCTTTTGACAAAGAATTATCATTTAATCGATTCGAAAATGGCTTTTGACCAGTTGCCAATTCCCACATGATACTACCAAAACTATAAACATCCGCGGCTGTTATGCATGGTTTGTTTTGTAATATTTCAGGGGCAGCATAAGGTAGAATTCCGTACGTGGCTTCAAGAAAATCTTTTTTCTCTTTTTTCTCTTTTTTCTCTTTTTTCTCTTTTTTCTCTTTTATCTTAGGAGGATATAATCCCAAATCACCGATAAGAGTCATATATGCGTTTATAAGTATATTTCCACTATGTAAATTACAATGAACTAAATTTTTTTCGTGTATTTGTGATAAACCGGTGGCAATACCATAGAGAATTTCCAAACGTCGTTCCCATGTGATATTGAAATTATTATTCGTCAAATATTTTGTTAAATCACCATTTCTCGCGTATTGCATGACCAACATATAATTCTTTGTAACTGGATCTTGGGTCAGACCATAGTATCGTATTATGTGAGTTCCACTATTATTTCCATAACGTAAATGTTGACGCAACTAAAAATAAATGACGCGTAAATAATAATAATAATAACAATAATAATAATAATAATAACAATAATAATAATCATAATAATAATTATAATAATTATAATTATTATAACAGATAATAATAATTATAACAGATAATAATAATTATAACAAATAATAATAATAATAGATAATCACCTTATCAAAGAAATCATATGAAGTATT